AAAAAAAAAAACATTCTGGACATGACCTCCATCAACGGAAGAACGGCACCTGATGCGGAAAACCCATACTTACAATCACCTGTCGCAGAAGTAAATTCTTCTCATTTGTACATAGCACATGGGAAAATACCTCCAATGATTGACCTATGAAGTTGAATCTTGCTGTTAAGAGTCTTGTTAGAGTGAAAAGAAAGAAAAAAAAATGAGGATTGAAAGGGGGAAAAAGAAACACAGATGCTGAAACAACAGAAGCACCTTGAAAGGTCCGTTGATGTTTCACGTGAACTCCAATGTGTACAATCTTTAGCGGTACAACGAACATGTAAAAACCAAAGCATCACCAAAGGGGTACTCTTCAAACTCAACACGCCTTGAGACCATTCTACCTTCGCTGATGGATATAAAACGGTCCTTCCATTGAGCACCACTCCACGCTGCGCTCCTGCCAACGGTAGTCAGTCATGGAGAAAAACGCAAAAGCCTCTGGGTCACGAATCGCGGCAACCGAACGGCTATGCGGGTAAAGGTCATCAAAACAAAGTATTCTTGCCCCACGTGGAATCTGCCTGAAACGCTCCGAAAGGTAATGGGTCAACGATTTGGGAAATAACAAATTTGAAAGTAGTATTGCTGTCCTTCCATTATCTTCATTGAAGATTGTTTTGTCGGCTAAAATTTTTGTCATGTCGGCAGTAATTATCTCAACCTCGGGCATTTTTTTTCCAGAAAAAGACTCTAGTTCAGGTTTGAGGCGCTCCCAAGCGGCCCTTGCAACTTTGGCATTGTGCTCACTGATTTCGACACCGACACAGCGAGCACCAGTTAGAAAAGCAACCTGAAACAAAACAGATCCGTTACCACAACCGAAGTCATAGAACGTATCCTCTGATTTTATTTTCATCAAGCGAACCATACGAGAGACAAAAGTGGGCAAAAGTGATTTTGCACAAAGATGTCGCGAGCCTGCAACTTCTGTGATACGCTTACATGAAAGGCTGTTGTAAACATCTTCAATAAGGCGATCGAAGAACACACAACAGCAGCTCCTTGTATTGCAATGATAGCACCCATTGTCATTCGGTTCTTGTTGCAAAGGCAGTCGGTATGGGTCGTGGGGTGAGCCATTGCCCTGTTCGCCTTGGAGTACAACTTGTGAATGAGCCGCGTCAATACGTTCACCACTACCCGGGCAAAGAATCTCTGCTTTCGTTTGTACTTTTTGTGACGCCACACTTCTGGGCCGCTTTCTTCGTAGGACTAGCCCTGTCATACTTTCTTTTTTGTGTTTCCGGTTAAAAAAACCGACTTGTTCCTATAGTACAACAACCGAGATAAGTGAGTGCATTTTACAGCAACCGATCCTGTAATGAGAGAGGATAGGACTTGACTCTCCAAGCAAATTTTTGTTGGGGGACTTATTTTTTTAAGGATTTGAGACGAGTTTGAAGCATATCCTTCCGTTTATCAAAAATCTTCCGCCTAAATCCCTCCTCGGGGGGTAATTCCACGTCCACATTGTAATCGGTGTTCTCCTCGCGGCTTCGTTTTTCCGCTGTGCCAACATGTTCTTCCCCCAATTCCGATCTGAGACGTCGCTCTGCGGCCATTTCAGCGCTACGTAAAAGGTCCTCTAAATTATGAGCCATGAGCTGTTTCAGGTACGTGCTGCTCGGATGAGAAGGCACGTCTTCAGAAATATGCGAGTCAACTGATTCAGACTCGACTTCCTCCATTACATCATCTTCGTGGCCATGATCATCTTGTGCTATACCCTTTCGAGCTTCTGGAAGCCCCTTGGCGCATCCAAAGTAGAGTTTTCTAGACGGTGGGGCCTTATAGCTCTGTCCACTAAGTGTAGCCATTCTTCGCTCCCATAAATTTCTTCTAGAAATAAGGTGATTTATATCGTCGTTCTTAGCTCGAATAACAACCTCCCCTTGACTTTCAATACTGAGCAACTCTGAATTGCGTATCTTCGCAATTTTATCACCGATTTCTTGCTTCAACTTAAAAAGAGCATACTTGACAACCTTAACGTCTGTAACGTCGAGAGGGTTGGATGGAATAGAGCGTACTCCTAAGCGAGAGAGACGTTCTTCCTCAGCCTTGCGTTTCGCCAATTTGTAGAGCAAAGTGCTTTGCCTTTCATTCTTCCTTGCCAATGTGCCTTCAATCTCTCGCAAATGGTCCTGCATTTCTATGTAGAAGATCAAAGATGCTTATAAACTCAACGAACAATCAAGTAAAAAACATTAAAATAAAAAGAATAAACACCCATTAAGCAGAACGGCATACGCCACGCAACATATATAAACCAAAAATCTCATTCCTTACCATAAGCAGCATCATTACCTCAGCAGCGAGAAATTTTTTTTACACCACACGCTGTTATATGCCTAATCAACCTTGATATACCGATATATATAGCGTACAAACCAGAAGCACGCAAGGAACCCAACGGCTCCTGTTGTGACCGCAAAGAGGAAACTTAGCAAGGCCATATAGCTCAAGTACAGCATCATCGGAACCAACCCCTCTATGTGCAAGTTCCCCACAACAACATAAAAAACCGAGTACAAGAACAGAAAGACCCCAGAACTTGCTCCTATGAAAAATGCCCGCCACCACCAGCGATAATCTTCTGCGCACAAAGAAAGATAAACCATGACTATTGCTATTTCTGACGAGGTCAAGAGCATAATAAAGCCAACGAGTAAAAGAAAGCCAAATACGTAATAGTATCTGTTTAGCCACAGCGCACCAAGAATGAAGTAGACTTCAATAAACACGGCAGCAAATGGAGGGAATCCAGATAATAATACGACAGCCTTTGAGGTGTACCAAGGTTGCAGAGGGACATGACGTGGAATTTGATTGTATGGCGAAGGAACCGATATTGTACCTCGCTTAAAGCCCAATATTGCACCTAGGAACACCAGAGGAACGTTGATAAAGATCCATATTCCCATGACTACAGTCAATGAAAAAAACGGAACGGCTGCACTGCTTGACTGAGACCACACAAGAAAATTCATAACAAAAAACGTTCCGAATGCCATTGCAGGGACAACGGTGCCTGTGGCAAACACATATTTCCACTTCGTTGCATTCCAGAGCTTGAGTAATCGTGCTGATGTGTATCCAGCGTACAACCCCAGAAATGCGAAGCATACAAGAACAGCAGTAAACAGACTTCCACGACTTTGTGGAGAGAAGAAGCCGAGTGACGCAAAAATCAGTACAGTGCAGGCCATCCCTATGAGTTGCACCCCAGTTCCTGTAAAACAGGCAAGAAGCCACCCATTTGGTGGAGGACGAAACACATCACGGTTCAACAATTTCCATCCAGAATCTTCAGGTGCATCATCGTTATCCAAATCAATGCCACTTATTTTCCTCAAGTCTCGACGAACAACACGGAACATGGAAGCTGCAATAAGCACCGTAAGAAAAGCCACAAAAAATGTAGAATTAATGATGGAGTACCAGTGAATATTGTGCCGATGAACATTCAAGTAAACATCCCACCTAGAAGACCATTTGTCATCCCCCCGAACCCAAGACACACCGTAGCTCCATGTAATACGGTCACTTGTTGCAGGTAATGGATGAATAGAAGCAAGCGCCTTTCCAGTCATTAAGGACTCACATGCATGCTCCGGACGATGCTCCAAAGAGTAAGGCTGGCCAACAAATGACAAAATCCTGTACTTTGTTTCAACATCCCCATCGGCTCCCTTCACTTCTTCTGAAGTATACTTGATGGTAAAATGTATGTGGTTGTTAACATACTTGATACCATGATCCATATATCCAAGAGGGACTCCAATAACATACTCTTTTTTTCTGTTGACCTCTGCAAGAGGAAGTCCATCCAGAAGCAGATTGATCCGGTAATTTGCCTTGATAGCTTTAATTAAAAAGTTTCGCTGCTTTTCATCTTCAACCTTTTTTTCGCAAATTGTCGCACAAGTAATGTTCCTTAATAAACGGGTGTTTTCGTATGGTGACGACTTGATACGGTCCCCCATCAGCACACCACCAATGTTACCGACTTTACCCCCAATGGATACCTTCGGAAGACACGTTGGAAGGGCACTGTAATAATCGTAGGGCAGGTGCGTCCGCACAGAGGTCAACACATTCACTTGAATAGGAACTACTTCGTCCTTTGAAAAAGTTTGCGGATGAACATTTGGCAGTAAAATAGCATTGACCGTACCACCTTGAATCAGCGTCACGAGGGCCACCACAGATACAAACGCCAGCATTCCTTGAAGCATCATTCTTAAAACACCTAATACAAATTCAGACTCACCAAAAAAAAAAAGAAACAACCGAGCTAACCAAAAGATAAATAAGAGAAGATATAGAAGGGAAAAAGTCACATATCCAAGTATACTTTTCTACTTTGAAACGCCACACACAACAAACACAAAAGAAACTCCTACAAGGAAGGATACCAACTGAATGGTATCCTAACAAAGAGTTTCGCCAAACTCCGCAATCCCCACCAACTGTACATCGCGACGGCGCCGCCTCTAAATCAACAAAGCCCCCACCGCGGCAGGGAACGAACCCAAACAAGTTACCCCCACATCGCGAACCAAAGGATTCCGCGAAGCCCACCGCACCGCGTCGCCCGGCCGGGCGGCGTGGGAAAACCTTGGCGGCTTTCTTCCGGGGGGCACCGGGGCCGGGACCCATGGACACCCCAACCGCCAGCAGAATCGGCTAGGGCTATTCCCCGCAAGCCCCACCCCCAACCCAGCCGGCGGCTCAAGATTTGACGCGGGGAACTTCTTCGCGCAGCCGTCACTAGCCGGTGGCGGGCGCTCTGCTCGAACCGCGGGGCCCCTCGCGAATGCCGCCGGCCCGCCTAAAGGCGCCAACGCCCCCCGCCCTTGCTGCGCGCCGGCCATCAAAGGAGATGGGCCTTTGCTTTCGAAGCGCCAAAAAGCTAACCGCCTGGCCCGCATGTCCGCCACAATAGCGCAAACCGCCTGCGATCGCATCCTCCGCCCCAAACCTAGCGGGGGATGGGGGCGCCCGGCCTATAACAATGGCCGGGCTAGGTCGCGCCCTTCCCCTACTGCCGCCAGGATCCGCACCGGGACCCGACACGACCCATGGGGAGGCACGGCGAAACCTCGGAAAAATTGCAAAACGCTCTGCACTGACGCTCTTCAACACGACCTTGCGCACTGGCATTGTTCCAAAGAGCTGGGGGCACGGAATTAAAATACCGCCCCTTAAGCCGGGCAAGAAAGCGACTGGACTCGAGCCATGCAGGCCGGTTACGCTCACCAGTTGCCTCTGCAAACTCATGGAACGTATTAGAGCAGCGCGCATTCGTGATGTTATAGAGCCAGAGCTCACGCCGCAGCAGTCCGGATTCCGACCATCCCACTCCACACTGGACCAACTATTGCACCTTCGAGCGGTAATGCATCGACCGACTCCTAAAGACAGAACGGCCGCAGTGTTTGTGGATTACGCCAAAGCCTTCGACACGGTAGAGAATGATAAAATCATACTTGAAATGCGACGGCTGGGTGTACCGCAACATATAGTGC